GCTGTGGCTAAGCAGTGCCACAGTGTTCATCTTCTCCCTCCTCCAGGCAGTGCTGGGGTGGAGATGACGGAGGAAAAGCGCTGTCTGCCGCCTGTTGCTCACTTCTGATTGTGCAGGTCTCGCTCCTGGAGTTCTTCTTCCCTCTATTTTTTTTCCCATTGGGATCCTGCCCTCAGTGCAACAGGAGGCACAGCCAGGCGGTTGGCACGGCTCTCTTCCATCGTTGTGCTCTGGGATCGATATGCTGTCGAGGTGGACAAGAATAGCTTCATTTTGGGGGACAAAAGTTCTTTCTTGGGATAGCTGAAGATAGCTTTTCCAGGCAAATAGGATCCCTTTCCTCTCTCCCAAGGGGATGGCCGTGAGCACTCGGCAGCGCAGGGGGTTTGCTAACCAAAGGGTTGAGCAGAAGGCACCACAAACCAGCCACGGCCCGTAAGGAGAGGTGCTGAGGCACCTGCAGATGTCTGGGCAGGAGATGCTCTGCAGCCCACGATCTGGTGGTCATCTTTCCCTGCCCGCCACTTGCTCAGCCCTGTTTGGAGCAGATCCTGTCGTCTCCCGTTGCTCTCCACCATCAAGAGGGAGCGGAGGCAACATCTGAAGATAGGCAAAGGATTTGTCTGTGCTTTGGGACCTGACAAGAGTTAACAGCCTGATTACAAAACCAGGGCGAGCTGCTGTTTTCCTCCGCTGTGCTAATCGTGGTGATATTACTGCTCTTTCACAATCCTGCAGTGGACGAGGGTGGGGAGGGGAAGGGGAGCTTCTTCATCAAGGTTTGGACAATGGTGCGTCCCGGCCTCTTCTCGTGGAGCCGTGCCATTGCAGCTCCCCGTGTGTCCTCCCCGGCCTTTCGGAGGAAGCTGGCTGGCTTTCCCAGTAGGTTTGCTTCCTTCTTTTGCTGGGATGCTTGGCACCAGCTCAGCGGTTTAGAACAGACACATTTGAAACAAAATCTTGATGAAGTTATTCTAGGGAGAAGGAAATGAGGCAACGAGGGACTTGTCCATTTGGAGGAAGTTGGATTTCCGTCAAGGGTGTTACCTAACCCACCTTTTTTTTTTAATAAAGGCTTTTCTGGCCTGTGCGAGAGGGTGTTCAGCTGCTTGAACGTTGGGGAGTGCAGTTGTAGGTCACCACCTTCTGCCTGGTTTGCCCCTAATACGCTGTCTTGCCTCTGAAATCTTTGCCCTAAGGTCAGTTTTGTAAACTGCCAGGTATTCCCTAGCAAAGACTGTAAGCAGGATCGTGCCACGAGGTGGATAATGAAGGGAGCAGCCGTGACAGCAGGCCGTGAGGAGTGAAAACGAGAGATAACAGCTGACTAGAAAGGTGCGTTCAGTTGACTTTCCAGAAGACGTGCTCGTGTTCTGCTGTTCTACCTCCTGCTTGCTGCACGGCTGGGATAGATGCGACCGTTTCTGCAGTTGCCACCTTTCCCCCTTGACATCCAGACCTGGTCAGGGGACGGAAACAAACGTTTGCCCCAGATCTCCTGTTTGCAAATGGACTTTCA